GTAAAATATTTTCTCGATCATCTATATAAAAAAAAATATTATTTCAAAAAAAATAAAAATAAAAATAAAAATAACCATACAAACAAGTTGATGTTGATCAAATATTGAACAAACACGTTTTAAACCATTATTATTATTATCAACAATAATTGATAAATATGGTTCATCTTCAATTATAGTTCCATCACTATTTGTATTAGTTATTGGTTCATCTAAACCAATTTTAAATGAAAAATCAATAGTTGTTTCTTGTTTTCGTCTTTCTTTTTCTTCTTGAATTAATTTTGGTAAAATATATGTTTGATGATAATTAAATTCCTATTAAAAATCAAAGTTTTAAATAAAAAAAAAATACGAAAAAAAAAACTAAAATTCGATTTATAAATAAACACAAACTTCATCATAATCAAAATGACTTTTTTTTGTATTTGATAATAATGGTGGATTTATATATTGATCATCAAAACTTATTGGAGTATTATTTGAATTAGTTGATGCTGCTGTTGCTTCCATACGTGCACGCATAGTTGCAAAATATCCGTTCTCCTTTGATGTATCAATATCTTTAAATGCATCACTTTCTGAATAAGTATTAGTACGACTATATGGTTTAACAAGATGTCCTTCTCCAATATTCATATGATTATAATCAATTGATGATGAACATAAACCTCGACCAAGAACTTTTTCTGAACGCCACATCTTAAAATAAATTCAAGTTTTTTCCTTTTTTGTTCTATTTTTCAAAAGCATAAAATTCATACTTACAACAGGACTTTGAACTGGACTTAATATTAAACTACCTACTCCAGAACTCCGATCATCATATGGATCATTAGATGTAATAGATGATGCATATCCATTTCGATTATTAATATTTCGATTAACAAATGATGATGTTGTTGTTGTTATTGTTGTTGTTGTTGTTGTTGTTGTTGGTGGTGGTGATGATGTTATAATTGATGGTTTATTACGTAAACGTGTAGAAAAACTAATACATGAGCTTTTTGATCCACCATTTTTTATACACTTAAAAAAGAGAGAAAACAATAGTTACTAAAATGTTATATATATGTATATCTAGAGTTTAAATTTTACTTTTGAATAATTTGTTTGTTGTGATATAATTGATTCATTATCATCATAAGGAGATTCAACTTCTGATATTGATATGTTATCATTATTAGGTTCTTTTGTAAATTCTAATTGAGATAATACATTATTTCGTGCTTTCCATAATCGAACAATTTCTTGTTCTTCTTCTTGTAATCGTTCATTTTGTTCTGTATCCAAACGATGAACATAATCAGCAAAACCTTCAGCTTGTAATTCAACTAATTCACTTTCATTGTCTTCATCCGATGGAGAATTATTAAACGGATTATCTTCATCACACTATATTAGAAGAATAGTATTGATATTAATTGACATTCTTATACTTACATCCGTTGTATATACAGACATGATCAGAGGGAAAAAAAAAGAATAGTTATCTAAAATTAAGATTAGGAACGATGGATGAAAAGCTTTAGCATATTTCAACGTGTTTTTTCTCATGAGATAAAGAAAAGTTACTTAAATTTTACAAAGATTCCATCATTGACAATAATACCCGGTTTATCTATGATTTGTGATATCAGCCACCATAGATAAATACTCTCTAGATGGCGCTCAGATGATACTTTTTTTTATGACAGTATCTCAGTATCTTGTTGAATTATTTTACTCGATTATCTTACCTCTTTTTGTTTCCTAATTCGATCATTCAAGCTAAGTTGCAAAGAATTTTCTGACAAAAGTTCTTTTAACATGAATAATGTTTTTAATCACAAAATAAAACGCACCATCCGATTCTTCGAGTCACAAACTACATTTCTATATAGTTTTTAGAATTTTATGTTGTAATGTGCACTATTTTTTTCTCATTACCTTTCGAATGATGTTTGTAATCGAATAAAGAAACTGATCTTAATTCAATCATCTGATGTGAAATATACAGTTTGCATGAACGGTCGAAAAAAAGAAGATGCTCACAATACCTAAAGTATGAAATTAATAGTTGTTACCTGTACACAAGATGTAGTAGAGATGATGAACTACCTATATATAAAGTGTAAGCAATACAATTTCTACTTCATATGGTAATCCATCGCTATTAAGTACGAAGAACACTCGTTTTTATTTTATTAGTTATTTCAATGTAGTTTTAAAGAAAAGAAAATGATTAATTTCGAATTATTTAAGTCTAGTAATTTTTTGTTTGATGTAAAAGAGTATATTCAACAACATTGAAGAATTGGCCAAGTTTGTCAAGAAAATCATATTTGATTATCATATCTTTATCAATTTAATATCATTACCATGATAATCAACAAATAATTGAAACTATTTTTTACCAGAAACATCAGATAGACTCAATGATACAAAATAATCGCTAGCTAATTTCAAAGCAATTTTATAAGAAACTTGAAAATTATCATCGAGTAAGAGTTCAAAGAAAGCCACAAAATAAGATTCTTCAGCACTATTCAATTATGATAGACGACGTACCTACTCGACTTTTCACAGATGAATCTTGACTATGAGTTCGAAGAGTACTTGCTGGAACATTATCGAGCTTAGCTGCTGTTTTGGCAGAACAATGTTTACTCTATCCCGATAAAAAACGGGTTAGGAACCTTTTTTAATAGTTATAAGCTTTCTGCTCGAACTGATCCTTAGCTGATACAACAGAAAAATACAGATGCCTTTCTAATAAGACTTAGCTGATTATTATGCATATTCAATATTTATTTCACTGAAATATATTCGTTCTAGCCTTTGAAACAGAATTGTATCGAAAAATAATTTATTTATAATCTTAGTTTTAGTGAAAATTAGATATTTTAAATCATGTCCTGGAGAAAAATATCAAGCACAGGTCTTCTTACTATCAACGTACTCTTGTTCAACTAGTTTCCTTTTAAAATATCTTGCATTATTGAAAATTTGTGCACCCCATCACTGTACCTCATCTACAACTAAATAGTATTCAATGCGTATCTCATTTAAGACCGTTTTGCACCTCATTTTGAACTTTGTGAAATGGTAGCACTGTATCCAAGTAAGTCGAAAATAGTCACAGGCATCATCCTCAGATAGTCCTTAAAATACTACAAATATAATATCCAATTAATCCGAAAAACGATCGAGTATGATGATCAGGTTGGACTAACAAACTACACTCGTGGTATCCACGTTGCCATTCGAAGATGATCACTTGACTGGTTATAAAACATGGACTGAAGAGTTAATGGGAACATATAAACTCGAGGAAATTGAGCTCAAAATTGCCAGATTACGTAGTTTCGAGCTCACTTTTGTTGACCGCTATGTTTCTGATTTAATCGGTTAATGTTAGAGGTTAGCTAGCTCGTTAATAGTTCAAACTAACAGTTGAGCGATCCGTTAAACGTTAAAATGGATTTGGCTCAAGAACACTTTTTCTTTAAGGGAGCTTCTACATTTAAAATGAGAGAATCTATATGATGAGGAAACTGAATAAACACTCATGATTTATTTAAATATAGTAAAATCTAAATATAGTAATGATCAAGACTTATTTGGAACATTGATTTTATGGTTTTTATTATCCCATTTGGACTTATCTTATATAAAGCGTTTCGAAACGAAGTTTATCTGTATCTTCAAATAGCAAGAGTATAGTTCAAATTTCAATAACTCTTCGTTTCTCGTGTGAAAGACATATCGTTCTTTTCTAGGCTATTTGTCATAGATGGTTTTGCTGTAAGGTTCTCATCTTTAAAAACTGGCCCCAGGCAAAGTATATTTAAATCGCATAAAATTTTCAGAATATGTTAGAGCTATAGCGGAAAGACTATGGTAAAATTTTCAGCCCTATATCATGACGTTTGAGGAAGATATTCACCGAACAAGAGTCGAAAATAGTCTATTGGGCAGCCCTAGATTCTCTATCAGCCTTCATTATATCTATTTTACGTTGTTTTTTCTTTGAAGGAGCGTGTCAAACTAGAGTGTCTACCAGAACTCTCTTTTTTCTAGTACTTACTTTTTCAGCGAGAAAAAGGATAACAAATTCAATGTCTCGAACAACTCTCAAAAAATGGCGGTATAACTATAAAAGTATTCGTTTATATAATAATAACAAAGTTTATTTTAAAAAAACCGGACGCTGATAGATACTGCAGCTGTTCTTTCAAGGAAAAAAATGTATAAGAATGAAGACCGACAGAAAAATCCGCGATGCACTATCAAGAAAAGAGTAAATCAATAAAAAAGAAAAAGAAAAACAATTGCCACTTTTTCTGAAAATACTATATTTTTCACGCAAATGACAACAGAATTTGTCAACAGTTTTTGATCAAAAATGAGGTGACGAATAAAAAATTATGTCATTTAACAAAGATCAAACTCCTGACTATCTTCCCATGTATTTATATTAATTTTCATTTTTCTAACGAAAACTGACTTTTCTGAGAGTGAGACCTTGAACACAACCAATTTCCAAGCAACAAATTTGATTGCTGACCTTTTTTGAGGGCAAAGACATTTAGCATTATCAGGAACGATCTGAGTCTATTGTATCGCAGTGAAAAAAGATTAAGCAATCAATGGCAATCAGACAATCAGCTTTTTCCTTCTAGAATGTAACAACAGCGATCAAAAAAGTAAAAGAACATTGTTTTTCTTTTTATTTATGTGGTGAAAGAAATTTTTGATCATATAATAAAAATTAACAACGATATCATATTTGTAGTATCTCATTATAAGTATACTTTTTATATGTAGTTATTTATTCAAAAAATTAGAAGAATAAACTTAAAATAATTTCAAAAATTATAAATTATAATTTTAAAAAAAAAATATTTACTTGAAGGAAGAGTTCCTGGAAAGAAAGTTTTTTTCCTTCCGGAAACTCTTCCTTCAAAACTCCTCCACAGTGATATGGATTTTTTTTAGTCTATCAAATAATATTTAATTTAGTCTTTCAGAACAGTTTGTGTCATACTAGCGATTTCTTCATTATTATTATCATTTAAACTTGTTATCATAACTTGTCCGAGTCCCCATGTATCAATTTGATTAGCAATGAATACATCACTTTCTGAGTTTGTTGTTGATTGTGGACTACGTCTTGATAGTATACGAACTGTATGTCCAGGTTTTAGAACAAACGAAGAAGGAAATCGATAAACTAGTTCTGGTTGTTCATCATTTTTACGACGAAGTGACCAATTCTTAAAAGATTCGTCTTTACCAGTAAATCTATCATTTTTTATTACAATACAATCATTGATAAAATCAATTGAATCAAATATGATTGAACCTATGAAGAAAAAAATTATATGAAATATTATAAAATATAAAATATTAATTTCTTATTAACCTGTTGCTGATGTTTTTGTAGACACTTTTTGCATCTTATAATTTTTATGATTTTGATTAAGATTATCAAGATTTTTATCAGTTAATGATGATGAAGTTTGTAATTGTTTTTCTTGTTTTAATTTATATAAACGTTGTTCTTCAGATGTTAATAAAGATCGATATGTTGATAATTCAAAACGAAGTGAAACATTATTTTCTACAATACTATTCATATTTGTTTGTCTAATAGCTATGTCTTGTTGAAGTTGATTTAATTCTTCATCAAGTTTTTGTTGTTCATATATATGTTCATTTTGAATTCTTGTTAAATCATCTAATATATTATCGAATTGTGTTTGTAATTGAATATTTTCTATTCTTAACTGTTTATGAACGTTTTCAATTTCTATTAATGATTCGGAATTAAACGTTTGTTCTATTGTTTTATTTTCAGCATCTAATAAACGTTTACGTTCATTATCTTGAATAGTTTCTTGAATTTCTTCCATTTTTGTACGATAATATTCTTCTAAACCATTGATTTGAGATGCTGCAAGAATTTCAAAATCATGTCGAATGTCAAATATTGCACGAATTAATTCATCATGATAAAATTTTGATACATCAACAACCGGTGTACCTGAAAGAAAATGAAATGAAAAAAATTTATATTAATAAAAAAAATTAACTAAGTGATAAGAAGTCTTCTCGTTGTGTTTGATACATAGCATCTTCAAATAAAATTTGTTCTCGTAATGTTTGTATTTCATTTTCAATCATAATACGTTCTAATCGATGATTAACTAATTCATTTTGTAATCCATCTAATCCAACATATAAACTGTCTACATTCGTACGTTGTTTAACTAAATCTGTTGAATATCGATCATATTGATTTTTAATGTGCTCTAAAGCATCAATTGATTGATTTAATTCTTGTTGAACTACATGTAATCGTTTTGAAGTATGACCATCCAATGCATTTATACGTTGTTGTGTTTGCCATATATCATATTCATATCGTTGTGATAGAAGTTCTTGAAGAACTTGATCACGCAGAGAATTATCAATTTCTCCACGAAGTGACTGTAAATCTGGACCATATGTTGTATGTAATTGATTTGTATCATTACTCCAATTTTCTTTTAAATTTTGTAATTCAGCTAATAATTGTCCATTATAGTTTTCTAAATTTTGAACATGATCTAAATAAATAGCAAATTTAACATTTAATTCTTGTAATTCACGTTGATCATCTTCATGTTGTTTATTTCTTGTTCTTATAGCTGAAATATTTGCTAATGAACCATTTTTATTATCACGATCATCCCCTACTGTACGTATACCCCGTTCAATAAGTGTTCGACGAATTTTTGTCGTATTTGAACTTTCAGTATTATTATTCAGATTTTGTGCATTGTCTTGAATCGTACGAGACATTGTTTGTGTTTGTTTTACAGGTTGAAACTTATTATAAAAACGCTGGTTTATATACACACATATATATATATATATTACTCATTTAAATAGATACAAACGTTACATAAACATGATTATTCTTTATTTAGCTTTGTCTTTCAGAACAGATGTCGAAACAAAAACAATGAGAAAAAGAATAGATAATTGTGTATTGTTGAATATTTTTTCTGTTCTTTAATTTTTCTAACGTTAATTAATCCAATTGGAGTCTTATTATTTTATTTAGCAAAATCATTTGTAAAAAAATCTTGCCGGTTTGTTTTTTGTCTTTGCTTCTTTTTCAATTTCTATGTTTAGAACGATTATATTACTCATTTAAAAGATTCATCGAAACCTCTTTCAAAAGAAAAATCTGACTAGAATAGTTTAATAATCGTATAATTGACTGTGATTAATTACCACACGCTATTGATCTGTTTTATTGGTAGAGAAAAAGAAATCACGCTACAAGGGTATCCAATTAAGTTTTTTGTCAGCTGACAATCATGCTCACAACCATTGATGAAAAAGACATGTAAATAAGATTAATGTCGTTAGAAGGTAATGAAGATATTTCTTTGTAAAAATATTTTTACTCATTATCGGATAGAATTTATTTCAAACATATTTACTCATTCATATTGATATTTTTATACTATTCACAAATGAGTGGGTATATAAAATAATCTCTTAGATGTCAATAATATGAAAATAGATGTAATGTAAAATAGAGCAATTTTTTTTTTTATAAATGGAAATGCATGAATGCGCACCGTATTTTTTTTTTGACTCCATATAAACCTACATGCATCGATATCGTCATTTACTTTCCCACCGTATCGAAAATCAAATAAGGCAAGTGTTTTTTTTTTACTAATCATAATAACAAACTATTTTACTTACGTATATAGGATAGAATGTCAACTGAAACTGGAAGTAAGCATCGATCGACAGAACCAATTGTTAATGGTCTAGCAAATGGTGATACTGTGAATATGAATGGTATTCCTACGCCGAATATCGATGGTGGCTATACAACGAATGTAAATGGCGTTATAAATATTAGTAGTAATCGTGACAATTCAACAGCTGACGATAATGATGATACACAACCACCACCATTTAAAATGCCTCGTGCACCACCTCATGTTTATTCATGTTTTGTTATTAATCGTACAGATCATCCAATTGAATGTGATGTACACTATGATGGACGTCCACAAGAAGATACATTCAATGAAGATGTTCATGTAACAATTCCAGCAAAAGATGAAAAATATTTTCCAAGAAAAATCTTTCAGCCTGATATACCGGAATCATATTGTCGTTGGGTTAAAATTATAACACATATACGTGTTAAAAAACATGATGGTAAAATTCTTGAAGTTGATTATCCATTTGATAATGTTCATGCACCCATTCGTAATTGGGAATTTCATGTACGTGATCATGGTGATATTTTATCTAAACCACCAACACGACCAGCAAATATTCTTAAATATGAAAATTTAGATGAATATGAACGTTAAAATCATCAAACGATTTCAATCAAGGACATTTTTATTTATTGTAACAATATTTTTTTCCCCACCAGAAAAAAAAAATATATATATATATATAAAACTATTACATAAGCGCTCTTTTTCTTTTTAATTATAAGAATGAATATTATAAAAATTTTTAAAAACTATATTCGAGGTTTTGATTATGAATCAAATATTGAAATGGCATCTGATTATACAATTGAATCAATTCAAATGGAACATGGAATACATAGAGATTTATCAATGATTGTACTATTTGTTTTTTTTGCTATATTTTGGCTTGGAATTGAAAATTATATGGATACTGTACAATATATTATAGATTTTTCTAGACGAAGAAGAAACTAAAAGAAACATTTTAAGTGTAAAAGAAAGAAAAAAAATTAAATAATAATCTTTGATCAATAGAAAATAAAAAACAAATCGTCAAATATTTATTTTCTGTTTCAATTCATTGTGTATATTAGAAAAAAAAATGTCCAATAAGGCTGACACTGAATGTCTATTATATTTTCTAACTGTTTCGCGATGGATGACTTGCTATAGTCAATCATGCATTTTTTTTTGTAATAGTTAGTCATGCATGACTAGATGTTTGATAATATTCATACCATAATTAAAAATATAGAACAACGAAACTTCTAAAATTAGCCATAATATCAGAATTTCTTTTTTTTATTGTTTATAGATTTTGCCTATATAAGAAAAAAAATATTTCAAAAAAAGGATTTTAAGATTTTAGAAAATTGTTAAAGATGTTACAATTAAAAAATAATATTTTAAAGTTCACATAGTTTAATAATAGTTATATTATATTCAGATGCTATCCATTGATAACATACAGGTTAGACTATGAATAATACTACGATAAAAATTTGAAATATTTATTTACTTGGGTTCATTCATATAAGTTGATTTATCATGAAGATGTTTATTTATAGTTCTTTTTTTTTTCTTTTATATGAATAATCCAAACAAATATTGCAAGATAATGTTTAGTTGTCAACTTAGAAAATAATAAGAAGAAATCAAAATAACAAACTTTATGAACGATATTTCATTGATGAACATAGAACAAATTTTTAGGACTTATTTAATTTTAGATGTTGAAACTTGTGTTCGATAACTAAGATGTATCATTAAAGTCTTTGAAATACTAAATAGACAACTTCCTTACAAAATTCAATGTTCCATATTTGAAAGCTCGAAATATTGTAACGGTTAATTTTCATGATTAAACTAATCCTGAAAATTTTACTTTATCTGTATCATGATAATATCAGTCATAAAGTTTATTTTGATTTCTTCGTTTTATTCTCTCAGGTGACAATTGAACATTTGTCTTGAATATAGTTGTTTGTATTATTTATATGAGGAAAAAAACCTTGAAATAAACTCCAATGCGACAAACTAAAAACAAAAATCAGCTCATTTGAATGATCCGAAACGGAGATATTTCAATTTTTGATAGTAGTGTTATTTATGGTTGATCGTATAACAAATGGTACATAATAAACGGAGATAAAATATTTCCTTTTTTTTAAGAACATTTTCAAACGTACGGAAGATTCCGTTCGAAGCTCATTTGATAGAGAATTTTCTGCTTTTTCAAACTATATATATTTTAGATTAGTATGCTTGTTTTTATTTGAAAAAATTATGAAAAACGAACACATTCGAAAAAATAGTACTTCGCTTCCATGATCAAAGTTTAAGTTCTCAAAAAAAATTATGGAACATTTTAAGAGATGAAATTAGTAAAAAAAACAGTTAGTAGATGGATTAAAATACTTAATGAATCTGGCGAACCTATGTCGCCAACTTTTCATCAAAACCGATGATTTGTATGATTTATTCTCTCTTTTTTTTATCAAGTTCATTTTCATTCTTCTATTAAATTAATATCGTCTGTCTTGAAGAGGTCAATTGCCATTCAAAATTAATATGCTAAAGTATATTATCTCAGATGGCGCCACATTTTTTCCTGTTATGTTGAATGTTCTTAACTAACTAAGCACTATTTCTGTGATGCCATCTTACGAATTCCAAAACCAAGTGAAAACATCCAATAATGTTAAAGTTTAATTCAATTCAAACTTCAACTTTCAATTGTCTATACTTTTGCTGCACACACATCGAGAGAGATATGTGTGTATGTGTTTGAAACTTGAATTAAATTTAACTTTCAAGTTTGACATATATGAACTGCAGTTTTCAACTAGTTATCGTAACATCGGCGTTAAACTAATAGCAATAATGTGATCGGACATACAGTAAAAATAATATGTTTTTATTCTTTTTATTCTTTCACAAGACTTTCAATGCTTCACAATTAATGATAAGAAAGAAAAAAAAAGGTCGCCATTTGTTGTGCACATTACATTTCGACAACGTAAGACAAACACAAAATCATCGTTCTCGACAATCATGTGTCACTTTTGTCATAGGCTTAACAAAAATCCACAAGCACCAGCACATCGTAGTTCAGAATGTTTGGATAAAGCAAATTCTTTTTCACATAAACCTATGCATAAAAGAATCTATGAAAATGGAAAACGTATTCAAAAAACAAATTCCGACGATATGACCTGCGTAAAAAAATCAAATTCCGATGATATGACCTGCGTAATTTGTATGGAACAATTACGAAATATGACATTTATTCCATGTGGTCATGTATCTACATGTGAAGTATGTGCATCAAATTTGGTAAATTGTCCTATATGTCGTCAAAGTATTACTAACAAACAAAAAATTTTTTTTTGTTAAAAAAGCAAATTTCGTCGTTTATATTATTCTTACAAAGAAATATTTTAATAAACAAGAATTATATTTTGCGAATTAGTATCAACACAGAAATTTATATTTTATAATAGTTATTATTTATTGTGATGATAAAGTAAGGTTGTCAATTGTCATGTTTATCTTGCAATTTTCTATTGATAAAGATTCGAAAATAGTTCGGAAGATTGATGAAGCATTTCAAGAATTGATAGTGTGTATATTATTGCTTGTTTTTTTTTAGTATATAATATGAAACATCTACTAAAATACTCGTTTTTTTCAAGAAAATCAATATGATTCGTATCTGTTCTTCATTTATTGATACAAAGAAAATATCTTCTCTTGGTTGCATGTACTCCAATAATAAAAATATTGATCTGATTCTTTATCTTTTATTTTTTCAATACATTTCTATCATATTGATGTTAATCAAGATGCACAGAAACATTGGCGAACATGTATTCAAGAAAGTACAATAATATCAAAGTAAATAAAAAATAAAGCACTATGTACCCCTGGAAAGCAAAATTTAGCCACTACATTTGACCTCTTTTTATACTCGAAAACGACCTATTGGAAAAAGTAATTATGCCATTCGATAGCTCTTGGAAATCTCTATCAAACTATGTATTTTGATGGTACCTTGCTTTTATCTCTTGAAAAACTAATCAAGTAGAATGAAGACATCCTCATGTTCAGATTCCTACAAACTTGATTTTGTCATTATCATCAAAATTAGTTTTTAAAATTTTTCATCATTATAGAATTATGTTTTAAAAAAGCAACTATATATTCTAATAGAGCTTGAAATTCTCTATCATCCTATATGAATTTGTGTTGACTTTTATTGATTTGCTCAAGAATAATTCTAGTATTACCTGGAGACATTCCTTGACACCCTAAAAACCCTGAAATTTTTAACTCTCGCTTGTGCTTTTTACTTCAAGGAGCTAGGATGGTACAGAATTTCAAGCTTTATCAGAATATATAATTATTTGTTTGAAAAGTCACTTCTACACTAACGATAAGCTTGAAATCAAAAGAAAAGTAATAGTAAAATATCGAGTTTTTTCAGGGTGCAATAGAAGATATCTATGTAATACTCGAATTATACTTTGGCGAGTAAATATGAGACAACACAAGATTATATAGGATGATGGAGAATTTTAAGCTCTATTAGAATGTACAATTACTTTTATAAAAGCTTATTTTCATAGAAATAATAATTCAAAAATACTAAGAAAATACAGAATTTTTGTTTTTGCCAATTGGAAAAATCTTTGTTGTACTCAAATTATATTTCAGAAAATAAAGACAAGAGAATAGGTACATATATAGGATGATAGAGAATTTCAAGTTCTATTAGAATATATAATTGCTTTTTTAAAAACATAATTCTATAATGATGAAAAATTTTAAAAACTAATTTTGATGATAATGATAATATCAAGTTTGTAGGAATCTGGACATGAGGATGTCTTCATTCTACTTGATTAGTTTTTCAAGAGATAAAAGCAAGGTACCATCAAAATACATAGTTTGATAGAGATTTCCAAGAGCTATCGAATGGCATAATTACTTTTTCCAATAGGTCGTTTTCGAGTATAAAAAGAGGTCAAATATAGTGGCTAAATTTTGCTTTCCAAGGTTATATATCGCATGTATAGTTTGAAAATACTGATTTACTAGAATAATACCTATATACAATATTCTATTCTTTTCTCTTTGATATTAATTGATTAAGATATCAAACGAATGATTTTATACATCGATAGGTTGGTTCTTTAATTGTATGAAAATTTCTATATTTATTGGACTAATGAAAAACGAACTAAACATTAAATGTTTCTTTATTCATTAGAAATCACAATGAAATACAAAATGAAAAAAAAAACGTTCTTTATCCAATTTTTCCTTCGAGAAAATGTTTTGCATAGAGTAAATAGAAGAGTTAACATAAGAAACAAAAAAACAAGAATAATGAATTCATACAAAAAAGTTCGTTTAATATTTTTGTTTGCACGTCAATAAAAAAATAAACATAGATCAGAATAAAATGTCACAATAAAATATTCAGACGATTAAATAATTGATATAATATTTATGAATAGAACAAAAATCAGTATATACACGAAGTCGTTTCATTTCAAGTAAATATACAATATAAAAGTAAAAATAAAAATAAAAATAAAAATATCACTTGAATTTCAACAATTATTCGTATATCATAAAGCTACTCGAAACTAATAAAAATAAATAATCTATTGAAAATTTATTGTTGTCAAATTACATCAATGATTCATTAGATGTCATAAATTACTATTTATATGAATACTATATAAGAACAAAGTTAAATTTAAAAAGACTTCTTAGTAAAATATCTATTAAAGTAATCGTTTAGAATTTAATATAGAAATGTTTTTTTTTGAATGTAATATAAAATTCATTATATATTTTCAATTAATCATGAAAATTTGTTATTTAATAATTATTCTAGTGACCATATACTATGATTTTTCTTTTTAATTAGTTATAGTATTAATTTAGTGTTGATGATTTGTTACTATTTGAGTTATATATCTTATCTGAGACTAAAATAATCAAGCGTGTCGATAAAATATAC